GGGTGGAGGGAGGCTGTCCGGCCGGTGTCCCGGGGAGGGCCTCTTCCCTCCCTCCCCTACGTGCGTGTCGGTGCTGAGGCGGGGGTGTCCGGGCTGATGCCCCGGGGAGGCCCCCGCGCGTGTATGTGTGTGTGCGGAGGGTGTGTGGGGGGGTGCCCGATCCGGTGTATTGGGGGTGCCCGGGGAATGCCTGGGTGGGTGCCCCGGGGAAGGGCTGTGTGCATGTGTTGGAACGGGGCAGGGAGGGAAGGACCGGGGAAGGCTAGATAGTCCCAGTGCGTGCTGGCAGTGTGGCCTGTCCCAGGTTGTCACCCTGCCCGGTTTTCTCTCAGGACGGAGCGGGATGCCTCCAACTGGTCCACAGAGCGGCTGAAAACTCTCCTCCTGCCTGTCAGGGTGGAGAGTGAGGAAGGGGCTTGTGAGGTGACAGAAGTGAGCAAGCTGGATGGAGAGGCGTCCATTAACAACCGCAAAGGGAAACTTATCTTCTTCTATGAGTGGGCTATCAAGCTGGCATGGACAGGTGAGTGATGTTCTCCTGTCCTGTTTCAAGGCCAGATTCTGGTATAAGACTAAGAATAAGGATTCTTATCTCATTTAGGAAATAATAATAAAGGGAGTATTGTGTTGTGATACAATACAAGTTTGCTTTTACCACAACCAGAGTAAGAAACGTTGATCTGAACAACATAATTGTAATTGCAGGCACCTCAAAGACAGGAGTGAAATACAAAGGTTATGTGGAGATTCCTAATCTCTCAGATGAAAATGACATTGATGAAGTTGAGGTAAGCACAGCTAAAGGCTAATACTGCTGGCTGTATGGCTGTTCTAACAGGAATCCTCACAGCATTAATATTTCCTTCCGTGTTACCTTTTTTAGAACATTTGCGTAGAACTTTTTTAGTGTTAGAGACTGCATAGAATCATAGAATGGTTTGGGTTGGAAGGGACTTTAACGATCATCTAGTTCCAAACCCCCTGCCATGGGCAGGGACACCTTCTATTAGACCAAGTTGCTCAAAGCCCCATCCAACCTGGCCTTGAACACTTCCAGGGATGGGGCATCCACAACTTCTATGGGCAACCTGTTCCAGTGCCTCACCACCCTCACAGTGAAGAATTTCTTCCTTATATCTAATCTAAATCTACCCTCTTTCAGTTTAAATCCATTACCCCTCATCCTGTCACTAAACTCCCTGATAAAGAGTCCCTCCCCATCATGTTGTACCTTTATCAAATTAATTCCTGTCTTCTAGATATAAGGGCTCTATAGCACATGAAGGTATTTAGGTACATGCGTACATTACTGTAGGATGAGAGAGATGAAATGAAAGATTAATAAAACTGCACTGCTGCTTGTGAAAGTTTAGCCAAAGTCTAATAGCGATGTTGAATTGAGTAATAAAAGGACTGTGCAAGTATGGCTTTGTTAATCAGCACTTGTCTTTCTTGTTTAGATCCATGTCAGCCTTGCTAAAGATGAACCTGACACTAACTTGAAGACCCTGATGAAGCAAGAGGGTGCAAAAAAGATTAGAGATGCAATGAAAACTTATATCAGCACTCTCAAAACAGGTATGTAACTGAGAGGGAGAAGTATTACGGGAACCCATAGGGGCTAATGCTAAAGAAGGGATGGGAGTAATGAGAGGAGTGAATATTAGTTCCTGACCCCATCTCAACAGGAAGGTGTCAGAGCAACAACAGTAACTTTTCTGTCTCTTTTGAAAATGGTTAGCATTTGGCAAGAAGCACTTCTGTCTCTAGACACTGTAGCACAGCCCAGAAAGATTGTTTTTGGTGATAATCCAATAATAAACAGCATTTTTGGATTTATGTTTTAAAACTGAGAATGTCCTTCACATGCTGAAGCTCAGCTATAGAGAAAATAAAGCCAATAAAACGTGTTTGCTACCCCAGTGACACAGAGTATCAGTCACTGCATGTGGCACAATCTGGCCTTTAGTTTGCTTACTCCCTTGGAAGGTGATATCTTCTCTCTAGTTTGTTGTTTTTTCCTCTTTTGCCACACTAAAGGCATCTAGTGTTATTTGGATTTGAGAATAACTGACAACTGGAAATTGCTCTGCAGGTTTTGTTGGTGTCATTGAATGAGCTGTCTCAGCATATGGATCAGAATTACTTTTTTTAGAAGATAAATCTGATTCCAGCAGTTGGAGTTAAATCAGTGTGCTTTGGTTGAGTTTGGCTTTGCTCTTTAGTACAGGCTGGGAATGCTACAGTTGCTTTTTGTATCCATTTACCTATATTACACTACATGTGCTAGATATTCAAGTTTTGCAGAGTACAAACCACCATTGGTTGCTGTTTTTCCAGGATCAAATTTCTGTAGCCTTGGGTTTTTTCAGGCATTTTAGTGTTCAGGGTGGGAGATGCGGTCACCCAGTGGAAGATGAGAATGTTGTTCAGGAAAAACTGTATGATCTTGTGGACTGGAATAAATAAGAATAGGTGGGAACTAAGTATTGCGAGATGCAAGATTATACGCATATAATAAAATTCTGCTATATAATGGAATTTTGCCAGTTTGAACAGATGAAGAGGAAGGAGAAAGAGCAAACTCTTTTGTAATTGGTAAAGGCAGAAGTGATAGAGCTGGAGAAAAAGCAAACATGATGCTGAAAGAGGCTGAAGCTTCTGGTGGAGTTATAAAAGTGCTAGTGCTGCTGGACAGGGCACTGGTGAGACCTCCCCTGGGTTTCTGAGTGTAGTCCTGGCATCTGGAGTCAAAAAAGATAAATCGAAGATGGAGTTAGAAGTAACTTTCTTTTGTACTACAATGGTATGAAAAATGGAGAGCCAGTCTGAAATAAATGGAAAAGCTTGGTTTGGTTTGTCTAGACCAGCAAGATAAAAGTATTTGAGATGTGATTGCTATTTGTATTAGAGAGTGAGAGAGAGAAAAAGCTACGTAAGTGTAAGGCTAACTAATATGAGAGCAACATGTGGAAGATAGTGATCGGTATGTCTAGGCTAGGAAGAGGAGGCAAGTTCCTAGCTGTTAGTGTAGGCAGGTTCTGATATGGCCTTCAGTGGAGAGTAGTGAGGGCAAGAAGAATTAATTGCTTGTGAAAAGAGATCTGTTTACTTTTTTAAAAAACTGTTTCAGGTTGTGGGTGCTAGCAAGAGCAAGGGCGAAACCAGGAAGCCCTTTTTGATTGTGTATTTCAAAGAGCAGTTAAAAGGTTTACCTGATCTTTTATTAGTTTCATGGGCACATTCCTTTCTTTCCAGAATTCACCCAGGGCATGATTTTGCCCACAGTGAATGGTGAACATATGGAAACAACACCTCAGGTGGCTCCTAAAGCAGAAGACCGCAAGGTAAATAAAACTGTGCGAACATGCTTTTGGATCTGTGAAGAAAGGTACACAGTATTAGATTGCAGCGCTTACAGGAGCAACCAATGCTGTTTACAGGAAATATATATCCAGGAATTGGCAATCTGTGGTATAGGCCTGACTGTTTTGATTTGCAGCACATGATATTTCTTAATTCAAGCAGAGCGATAAATCTGCTTTTTACACACTCAAATATGGTTGCTACCTAATTACATCTTTACCAAAAGCCTTCGTTTTTTCTCTTGGAAATGTGAACCACTTGTTGAGGTTTTTTGTGAAAAAAGTATGTGTGTGTTTGTTTTGTTTGTTGTTTTGTTAGACAGCTGCTAGCAGCAGTTCTGCCACATCGCAGTCCAAATCCATAGGAGTCAAGATCCCTACATGTAAGATCAGCTTGAAGGACACTTTCCTAACATCTCCTGAGGAGCTCTACCGGGTATTCATTACTCAGGAGGTAATGCCAGGCTTGCTTTGAGAATTGTTCTTTGCACATAGGAGGTTGTTCCTAAGAAGCTTTTTAAGGCATTCTGTAGGACACTCGCAATCCATGAGAATGGAATAAGAAAGCTGGTCTGCAGAACTGTTGCTTAAAGCTCGCGTGTGCATCTTTTCACACAGTTGACAAGAGAGGATTAATGCCAGCCAGAAGCCAGTTCCAGACTGGTGTCAGCACCTATCTGTAGGTGTATCGCTTACTGCATGTGGTCAGATCTCTTGGGATTTATAGTTGTGTGCTTTTTGGTTTTGTTTTGGTTTTTCCTTTTAAGGTTAGGTGATATCAAAGTGTACTTTGGGAATAGCTTCCCCTCTCCTGCACACTATTATATAGCTTAAGAAGAGAGAGCAGTATTGTATCATTATTTAAACATGGTCTTAGTCTTTAGTTCCTCCTTTTTTTTAAAAAAAAAAAAAAAAGAAAAAGGCAAAAAATACGACTTTTTCATAGAACTAGGTTTCACTAAGGAATCAACAGAGTAAATCAAACTAGCTTACAGAACACTGTACAGAATATGAAAGCTAGGGGTTCTTTTCCCTTGGCAGGCAGAATGCTTCTGTAGTGGCTATAACCTTGCTTTTCTGGCCAGGATGGCGTTTTTGTCTTCTTGATGAAGACCTTACACTATTGACTTACCTCTTCTTCTAGAACTTTTGTAGCTGGGTGGGAGGCATTAGGCAACAAGTTTGCAGGCAGATAATGTCAAGTGATACAGGTCTTCTCCTGAATTCTTTTCAGACGGTCCAAGCTTTCACCCACGCACAAGCCGCCTTGGAGGCTGATAAAGGAGGCAAGTTTCAGTTACTGGATGGCAGTGTCACGGGAGAGTTTGTTGACCTAGTAAGTACTAACTAGTGCAGGTGTATCTTCCTCGGGGGCAGCCTTTTTATTTTTGAGGTATCAATTCTGTAACAATGCTTCAGTTAGCTAATTGTGGAGTTCTACTTGGTGCCCAATAGTTACCTATAATCGCTGTGGCTATTGAAGCATTCCTTATAGTATGGATTAATGTATGGGACTTCAATCTGGGGAGAAAATCTGGCGTCCAGTCATGCATCTGCCCTGTCTTTGTGTGATTTTATATATTTATTAGAGGTTGGAGGGGTGTTAAAGGTGGTAACTGACCCTTTTCCTCTTTAGCTCTCCTGCCACTAAAGTCTTCTGGACAGGGACGCTGTCTCAGTGTTTGGGGCTGTACTATGGCCTACCTTCCAAGAAAAGGAGTGGAAAGAAAAGGACACTTAAAATCTCTTTCCGTGTGTGTGTGTGTGTGTGTGTGTGTTTCTTGAGGGGTCTCTAAGGCTTCAAATCAACACAATTCTAGTTGTTTTCTATTAGACTGCAGGTTTTGCAAAAAATTACCACTCAGTCTTTCTCTTTCTTTTCAAGGTCCCTGAGAAGCAACTTGTTATGAAATGGAGATTTAAATCTTGGCCAGCTGGTAAGTAGTCCAAAAATGGACTATGGTATTACAGCCCTTGCCTGTGTTTGAAGAATTCCAGCCCCATTTGCCACACTGCACTCTGGCTCGTGATCGGGGAGCACACGGTGTTCTGGGAGCTGCACCAGCCTTATCCCAGTTTCATATCCCACACAATGAGGTCAGAATCATCAGCCACGGCTTAGAGCAGCGGCCAGGGATTAGGAACGATGAAGTGGCAGCTTGCTCAACTGTGGCCACAACTGCTTCGAACCCCATGAAGAGGGAGCCCTCTCTTCCCTCTGTTTCTGAGGAAGGCCTGCAGTAGTCATAAATAGATCCTCTGGAAGGATCCTGAGGAGTCCTTTAAGTGGTGCTGTGTGAGAGGAGGAGCAGAGCAGCTCCTTGGGGCAGCATATACTATATTACACACTGCTGACAGGTTTGCTTTGGTTCCTCTAGGGCACTTCGCAACAATTACCTTGAACTTCACTGACAAAGGTGGCGAGACGGAGGTGTGCTTGGAAGGCAAGGGCGTTCCTGCCAGTGAGGAGGAAAGAACAAAGCAAGGCTGGCAGCGCTACTACTTTGAGGGCATTAAACAGACATTTGGCTATGGCGCCCGCTTGTTTTAATACTGGTTGCTGGGAAGGCTCTGCCTGAAGACTCTGCCACGTGGACTGATAAATTTCTCACCTGTCCCTTTCTAATCTTGGCCCTGCTGCTGAGTAAAGTGGGATGACAGGTGATGAGGAAGGCCATTGAGCAGCACCACTTTCAGTCCCTCACTGCTTTATGCATGTCTCGTGCTGCAGGGGATTCTCTTACATGTACATACTTCTATTGCTAAATAAACCTAACTTAAAAAAACCACTGTGGAACTTGTGTCCTCAGATCGGCTTGAGTTCAAAGAGTCGGTCGATAGGCTGAGGAAGGGATCTGTCTGGAAAAACACCGATCAATGAGGAGTGCTGATCCCAATGTGATTTACTCCTCACTGCTGGGGGAGTAGAGAGCATGAGCTTGATGCAGTTTTTAGTTTGAGCAGCTGCTCATTTTCTCTTCTTTTGATCTGCCGCTAGTAAATGTTTCGAACCCTTTCCATTTCTGAAGGATTCTAAGCTCCTGTTCAAGCTATTCCTCTCTTCCCTTGCACATCCCCTTCTTCAACAAAATCCTTTCTTACGCTTACACTAGCCTGCTCTGCAAGAATGCCAGTCACTTAGTCACCCGATGTCTAAGGCAATCAGCAAACCACTGCTAAGGAAACTCCCACCTACAAAACAGTTCTAGCAGGTTGCAGTGCCCAGGGTCAGCTACCTCCAAGAGCTTCAGGCAAAGCAAACTGTAGACTCTCAATGGGGGTGGGATTTATTCCTGTAAAATAAACAAGGTGCAGTACTTTTGGCTGACCCCACTTCAGCTGTTGCTTTCACTGCTGAGGAAGGGAAAACCACTTGCTTGTTCCCTCCTGCTAATACAGTTAGTTCCCAGAGATGTCTTCTGAAGCAATAAACATGTTTATAGGATAGGGGAGAAATCTAGTTCTTGTCAGATTGTCAGTCTGCTTAATCTCAAGGGTGACTGAAGTGCTTGGTTTTCACTTTGAGGCATGAGCTTCTCTCGCATACTTTGTTTTCTGCTAGTGTTTTCTGCAGAGCATCTCTAGTAAGCTAGAAGTAATGTTACTGGGTGAGAATTCCTGGTTTGGGGATTTTTTTTTTTTTAACTCTGAATGGCATGTTGTAGCCATCCGCCTTGGTAGAGGAGACAGGACAAAAAACTTTAGTGCCTGTTTAAAAAAACCCAAATGTAATTGAGTTGCCTTCTAAACTATGGAGAGCATTTCTAGCCTTTTCATTATTTCAAAGTGATTGTTCATGGTAAAGTGTGTACAGACATCAAGAGTGCAGTACGAAACTAAGTTCTGTATTGTGTACTTATCCCTGTGCTGACCTGCGACCACAAAGGAAGTTGTACGAAGACGGGGCACCTGTGGATGTGGTAGGGCTTCCCTGTGTCCTGCAGGGTTGTCTTCCTTAAAGCATTGGCTGGCTGGGAAAGGGGCCACAGGTATTTTGCCAGGATTCTTACGCACAGGTGAACTACTGTACGCATCTGGTAGGCTGCGGGAGTTTAACATGATGTAAGCAGGCTGATGTCACTGTGCAGCGTGCGTGTTTGGTTTTCTGTTTGGGAAATCCTGGACAGAAACATGGGACACCTTAAACAGCAGGACCAGCAAGTGTGTTCACAGCCAAGGCAAGAGCTTTGGTAAGAGAAGAGCAAAATGATTTGAAAACTGAAAAAATGAGCTCGTTCTAAGTTAACTTGAGACAAACTCAACGGCTGAATCACGGTGTCCTCGCTGTGCTTCGGCAGCCGTGCCGGCAGCTGGCCACGCCGCGGCAGCAGTGCTCGCCTGCAGCGGGGCTCTGCTGGCATAGCTGAGCGAGGGCAGCAGAAGGCAGGCCCTGCTAATCACCTGCCGCTGGAAGGTTAGGAAGTGGGACAGGAAGGCAGCTGAAGTGGAATTTTAATTGCCTTCCTTTCATCACAAACAGGGTTTACTTCAGGCATCCTGCTGCTACTCTAATAGGACACGCTTTGGCCTCAGCCAGCAACTCACATTCATGGGGCTCACGGACTCAGGGCTTTGCTCGGAGGCCGTTTGAGGGCTCTTCTTCCAGCAAAACTGACTGCCCTGAGTTATGCGGGTGCTGGCCCAGCTGGCTCCCTGCCCCTCGGGCTGGAAATCGCCACCTCCACAGCAGCAGAACGGGCTGTGTAGCCATGTAGCCGTGCCTTGGCTGCTGTTCACAACCCACTGGTGAAGAAGATCTTGTGCTAAAAGGCCAGGCTGTGAGCTAGTGCTTAGCCTGAGGTGCAGAGCGTGTCAGGATATGCTACCTCTAACGGGTCACAGCGGTGGTAATGCCTTACACCACTTCAGCAGTTTACTTGGCGAAGGCGATCCGAGCCTTAAGTCGCTGCATACTAGTGAAAGTCCCTGCGCTACATCTGCCCCCTTTCAGCAAAGAGACCCACTCCTTCAGCTACAGCTGACATCTGGTGCAGCTATACAGATGCTAATGAGAAACCCCAGACCTTTGCTTTACTTGGAAGTGTCAGGAGAGCCAGACAGAGTTTGCAGTCCTTCAGATATCTGGGGGAGGGAGGGCTATGTAAGATGAGGAAGAAAAGCAAGGTTCCTGCCCAAAGGCTCTTCAAGAATTTGAACTGACTCAAAATAAGAGGGGAAGTCTTGTGAATTAAAGAAAACAAAGGTTAAAAAACCAGAAAACAGAGATAGAAGTAAACAGTGAATTTTTCAGAGTGATGCGAGGTCAGGTGGATGCTAACTGGCTACGCACTTACGAGGCACATGGAGAAGATGAGTAAGGAGCAACCACCAAACAGCAAAAGATGGGGTCCCAGCCAAACGAGTCTCTGAACACACTTAGTGAATTCTGGAATTTCTTGCAGCTGGTGGTATGGTACCACTAAAAGTTTACATGGATTCAGAACAGGAGTGGAAAAATTCATGGAAGAATAAAACAACCAAGGGCTATTAAACAGAAAGACCATCACATCTGGCTCAAGAAGCCTCTTGGCCACCAGCTGCTGGCGACAAGGAAAGTACTTCAAGGAAATAGCGACGTGTGCTTGTCCTTTTCTTTACTCTTCCTTCCTAGTCACCTGCTGTGACTGCTGTCAGAGACTGGATGCTGGTTTAGGTGATGGTGTTATGACTCACTTGGCCCTTTTTAGTGTGTTTTGATCATTTATGTATGTGAAACTTCTATGGGAAGATCAGGCCACAAATCAAAGAAAGAGATTGAAAGCCCCTAGCCCAAGTAACTATTAAAACTGCTTTGAAACATCATCCCAACCCTATTTCAATGGCAAAACGGGAAGAACTTAAATAAAATATTTTTTAAGAAAGCCAAAGTGAAAGTAGTTGGATGTTTCCAGGATGACAGGGCCTGACACTTTACCCTAGAAGACTTACTTGGGAAAGTGGAGCAATCTTTCAGAATTCAATGAGGAATGGGGCTGCGGAGAGGTAGGGAGAAGGAGAGAGAGGTGAGGGCCAAGGGAATTAGATCAGTCTGTAACATCAATTCATGAAAAAATACTGATAAATGCAGTCAGTAATCTGTAAATACCCACCTAATCAGGTAAAAAGTAATGACCAGCATACCTATAGCACGGCTACATCAAGCACAACTCATATCGAGTCAACCTAATGCCTTTCTTTGGCAGAATATCTGGGCTCTATTAAGACTTTACGCAATGCTTTATATGATATTTTTATTAGTAAATAAGGGAAGGCCTAATAGAGCTGTAATGAATCCAGTATGTTTCAGTATAGAAGATAACTGATAACTTCAAAGTCCAAAGTAATTTACATCACCACTGGTGCTGTAAAACTCTTAGAAGACAAGTTTAGGATTGAAAATGATGTTGACAAAGTGGAAAAGTGATCCAGGAGGAAAAAAAAAGTATATTTGACCTCACTGAATTGCAAAGTTTTACACTGAGGCAGAAGCCACCGGTAACGTGTACAAGAGGGGAAGCAACAGGCTTGGCAGCACATCTGTAAAAGACATTTAAGCTGGGCAGGTTATGGTGAATTTTCAAATGAACATAAATTTAAAACATCACGGAAGAGAACAAAAGCTGCCTGGGCAGGCTCGGGTTTGTAGGTCTTGTGAAGAAATCTTTCCGTATAGCATTAAGAAAGCCCCAGATAAGACCCCGTGGCTTCAGTTTTGGGCTCCACGCTTCAAGAAAGATGTGAATTAGTTGGAGCAAGCCCAGTGGTGGGCAATGAGACTGACCGGAGGTCTGCAAGTACGGCTTCTAGGGAAAGCCTGAAAGAATTGCATTTGTTTAGTCTACAGAAGAGAAGATGGCGGAGAAGGAGGGAAATCAGAGCGCAATGATAAAATTCTGAAAAACGTGAGACGTAGGAGCAAATAAGGCAATAATATGCTCTCTGTGATCACTGCAGATAAGATGCAGTGGGCTTAAAATAAAGCAGGAAGGATTTAGATTGGCTGCTAGTAAAATATTTCTCCCTGCAAGAATAGTAAAGCTGAGGGTTACTGTGGCATCTCCATCACTGGAGAGCTTGAAGTGCAGCAGAGAGTGGGACCCGTCGGTGAGGAATGATTTGTCCGTGTCCCCATGGTGGGGCTACGAAGTTTCTCGAGACCCCATCTAAATCCATTTTCTGTGGTACATCCCTGTGTGCAAAGGCTGTGATGCCTGGTCAGGGGGGACTTTCTCCTGGCTCTTCAGAAACCTCATGGCCGCCCTGCCGGCTGCGGCTCAGCTCCCGCAGCACAGCCAAGCCCGGCCGGGGTTGGGGCTGGCATGGCGGGGGATGCTGGCTGGCGGATGGGCTCTGCTGTGGCCCCTGGCCCGTGCGTGACAGTCAAGCTGCGCAGGGCTGTGATCCCTACTGCCGGGCTCCCATGCAGTGAGAGAAGAATAGCTGACATGCTTGCGAGGACCTGGAACAAAGCGGGGGCCGGGCCCCACCAGCTGGGCTCCTTTCAGGCATTTCCGAGGAGCAGCTGGCCGCTGCGTGGCAGGGAAGGAGGGTGAGACATTCCTTTCTTGACTGCAAACATGTGGGTCCATCCTCTGTGGAGACGGAGGGAGTAAATCCCATCCTGCAGACACTTCGGGCAGGGCTACCCCAGTGCGATTTTGGCATCCCTCCTCATGGCATCGGTGAAAGCGGAGCAGAGAACAGGCTCTGCTGGGTGCTGGGGACGGGCTGGGGGCGATTCTCCGCACTGAGGGCGAAGGCAAAGCCCAGGAGACCAGGTCTTGCCACAAGCTCCTGTTCATCCCTTGTTGATGCTGCGGTCAGCAGGGCTACTGCCGAAAAACTGCAGCTAGTGTGATTTTTTTTTTTTTGGTTACTCT